AAATTAAGATAAGTTCATGTCAGTGAAAATAAGGTGAATAGAACACACCCTTAGTTTGTCTTTATACTTAATTAGTTTAATCTATATCTATATTTATACTTAGTATTTAAAAACTCAAACCACAATCATTCATGTGCCACATGTCCCCACAACTTATTTATATGCCACATGTCCTCACAATCCATTCATATGCCACATGTTACTTCTCTTACCTTTTAATATTAAAAAAATTAAATTTAAAATATTACATAATATTAAGTCTTTATGCGCAACTTGCACATTTAAATAAGAAAATGAAGTGTTTCATTTCTACCATGATAGAATAAATTTGAATTAATTATTACATAAACATATAAAGTATAATAAAAATAGTCTTTTTGTCTCTTAAACTTAAAATATAGCTTAAACAAATACGAAGTATGTCATTCATATTCTACAATATTCATGTATATATATTTAACTAAATTTACTGCATATTCTTCCACAGTCCCACCCTCACTTTTTTTTTAAAAAAAATAAGTTTTCACCTCAAAAGTCATGTATAGTAACAATAATAATTTCGTAGTTTCAACTATTAAAAAGCATACATTTATATAAAAATAACATAAGTTATAACCCGTGCATTGAACGGGCCAAAAGGCTAGTTACTTTATTAAATAACATGCCATAAAATTTATTTTGATACGACCATTCTCAAGTCTCTGGATTTATGAAGTCTCGTTGCTGGAAGAGCCCTTACTTTAGGTTAGGTCGGTCTCGTCATTCACGCGTTATTGAAAATGATGGTCAAAGCGAAGTATAAATAATCAAAAAAGTAAAATAAAAAATCAAACGTGTCAATTATTTAGGAGCAGAGGGAGTAACTTTTGAGACAATAATGTTTTGTACGTATTTTAGTAATATGGACGATGAAGTAATATTTGTGAATTTAACCTAATTTGAGACAATCATAATTGTTAATTTTAAGATGTTCAATAATTTTTTTTTTTTATGTTTTGTTTTTTTTTTAATAGGGAGGGTGATTTCATTAAATAATAATAATAATCATTCCGCACTTACAATCATCCTTTAAACGATCAAAATTCATAATACAAGAATTAAACACCCCTAAACTAATGTTCAATATTTAATATAACCGACTGTTAATAAAATGTCACTTTTATATTTATGTAAAAAAAGAAAAATCAAAATTTTAAATATATTTAAAGTTATTTTTATGAAAGTTAAAATAGAAAAAAAAAAAATACATGGTACAATAAAATTGCTTACATGTCAAAAAAAAATTATATTAAAACCCAACTAAAAGTTAATTAATTTTGACTTCAATTCAGTGATTTGCCATAGAAACAAAAGATACTACCACATGTTTCAAAAAAAAAAAAAAAAAAAAAGAAAAGAAAAAACAATACAGTGCCTAAAATAAAAGAAAATCAATTAATTAATTGGCATTAGTTTTAGTTTTCAGTTTCCTTTTTTTTAAAAACCAAAAAAGAAAACAAGAAAAATGTGTTTCCACTTTTCTATTGTCAGTTTTTAAAATTATCATGATTTTAATAAGTTCAAATAATTTTTGATTCATTATGGGGCATACATCATATACTTTAAAAAACAAAAAATCAAAAAACAGAAGACCACAATAATGCGAAACGAACCCTAAAATACATAAAGTAAAGAAAAACAAATTAATTCTAATCATTTTTTGCAAGTGCAAGCTACGGCCTACGGGGTGCGGAAATCAGATGCTCTTTAGTTACCCAATCCATCCCTTACTCTTTTTGTTTTGTTGTGATTATGTTCATTTTAGATGTGATTTTTGTAATAAAAAATTACACGTATTAATTAATTAGTTGGTGGAATAATCGGATTAACTTAGTTTTACAAGTATAAATATTCTTTTCTTATCTTACACGATAACCTATGTAGCAAAACAGGTGAAATGAAAAGAAACTATTTCCACGCAACAAAATAAAAATCATCAATGCTCCACCCCATTGAGACAACAAAAACATATGAATGTGGCAGGTGGGAATGAAAGGGTAATTTAAATTGTACTTCGTACGATACTATAGTCTATACCGTTGTCCATAGTACAGAAATTCCACCTCTATATTTTTTCATATTTTTTATACTACTAATATACATTTGTCAAAAATTCTACTCCACTTCTTTTTAGTTTGGTTACACATACATACAAAATGGAGGAATTGAAATTCTCATGAATTTGAAAATAAAGTTTTTTTTTTTTTTTTTGGGGGAAAAATAAAGGACTTGTTTAGTCGACCATAAAAAGTGAGAATGTGAAAAGTGTAAAATTATGGGAATTTAATTACCAAGACCCTTCTTGGTAATTCAAATTTCCATGATTTGTAAATACCCATATAACAACCAAACAAGTTTAGTTAATTCGTAGGAAAATTGATGTGAGATTTTAATACACATGAAATACAAATGCTTATAGAAAATTAATTCCTTTGTCAACCAAACAAGCCCTATGAATAAATAAATTTTTTTGGATAATTATTTAAATAAGGGAAAATTTTTAAATTATTACCCAAAAATATATTTAGTAAGAGAAAATACAAGTAAAAGAATTTAGTACATCTATATTGTATTCTCTTTGGTTTGTCTTTAACTGACAACGTACCATCAATTGCTGACGATCTAAATCTTTATATACACCAATACATCATGCATGTACCATTATATTTATTTATGCACTTAATTAATTATTGTTTGGTAAACTTATGACATGGAGTCCTAAATTATATAAACAATGCAAATTAAAAATTGATTTATTTTAAATTGTAATTTTACTTGAATTCATTGGAAAACTAATATCCCAATAAAATTGATCTAAACATATTTTGCACATACAAAATTGTCCATGGTTATGCTACATACATTGTTGTTAAATTATTCGATGTGGCCTTAATACAAAGAACAAACTTAATTACTACTAAGCTAAGATTGGATGTGCGATGCTCCTCGGCTTGACGGCTTATGAGTTATGACTTTTATCATCTTCATACACATTTTTTACACTTATTATGTTCTTCAATATGCCATCAAATTTATTTATATACTATAGGATTTACCTAATTAAGTTTCTTGATTATTACGGCATTGGATTAGGAAAGTTGTTCTACAAATTATTGTAGTACTTGCATTAATTAAATAGCTAGGACACAATTTCTCGCAAGGACATGCATGATTTTGATCTGAGCAATCCAAAATTAAATTTGGTACTTCCTAGCTACTAGTGTTCATCTGCCGCGGCTTAAGGTGATCCAAGTACTGCTTTTTGTGGCGGATTTGATTTCGATTTGAAACATCTTCTAGACAATGCATCCGTTTTAGAACAACTAACTCTTATTGACTAATTAATAAGGTAGGATTTGGAAATTTTATCAAGGAAAATAAGTCTATTATTACATCAAAGTCTTGCATGCATCGGAATTTTGAAGAACTTACGTACATTACTTATGAATATGCAGTTTCCATGGATTTGGTGGTCTCATAATGGTATACTATAATAATATGTTGTACGAAGTAAATGATAAAACCATGAACTCCCGTCGAATTTTTGTTTTACACTATTTCCGTTTTGAGTTGAATTTTTAGGAACAAAAAATTGGAGTGAATAATCTATCATAGACATGAAACTTTAGTCCTTAGCCCCTTAGAAATTGAAAACCCTTATAAATATTGATGTTAATATCACAAATTTCTATGAAATTAATTTACTAGTTAAGTTTGATTGCAATTGATTTTAATTAATTAAAACTTTAACTTTATTTACTTAATCAAAACCATTTTTTTACTGACAAAACGTACCACATATTTTGTTGATATTACTATAAAGTGAAAACTCATTAAATTTAAGGAGTACATAATTTGATTTTCTCCTTTAGCAACAGAGAACTTTTACCATTCAATAATGCAATATATGTATTTTTAATTATACGTAAATTTTGATGAATTTTAATTATGAGATATGAGAAAACATAACAAGAATATATTTATATACCTTAAATAGTTATGTATGAACTATAAATCAATCACCAACCAACATTGTTGAAAGTACAGTAGTATATGAGCATTATTACTACAAAGAACAAAAAATTTAAATTAAATCAATCACCAAACAACATTGTTGAAAATCTTGTGTAAGACGGGTGTACATTAATTTTATTATAAGACATTCAATTTGTTTCCTCAAGTTTTTTAATTAACTATTTTAATGGTAACTTTGACTCCCTTAAAGGATAATTTTTAATTTGTCAATGGTTTGAATTTTATTTTAATGTGTAATTTCTTATACATTCATGTACATACTACAAAGGCTAAAATGATTAATTTAATCTCATAAGTTTTTTTTTTTTTTTTTTTTTTTTTTTTTTTTTTTTTTTGTAATAAGATAAATTTATTAGAAAAATAATAACTTTTGTATTATAAATGGTAACTTTAAATACTTTTATGATAATTTTAATCTGTCTTACAATAAGTGGTGTATCCAAGATTTAAAACTAGGCTATGCACAATTACATAAACAAATTAGATAACATCATGAGATGAGTCTAATGCGAAATAATCAACATGTAAGTCAAAGTTGCAAGATAAAACACTAAATAAATATTCACATCATCCCCAATTAAGTGCCTATTTATTTCACTTTACGCGGTATTTTACCATTAGAATTTTAACAAAAAATATATAAAGTTGATATTACTCTGTCTATACAACACATTATTGAGACAAATTAAAAAATTAACATGATTTGAGGGGTATGCAAGTGCATAGCTTCAATGTTAGCTTACAATAAATTGAACTTTTTGGAGATTTTGTGATTAAAAAAATATATATATAAAGGGATTGGAGTAGATGATTGAATTGATTAGCCATGACAAATTAATTTTCTCAAATTATTAATAATTCATACATATAATGTGTTGAAATATCCGAAATAAACACAATAACGAGTTTATTCTCCTTATGCCAACTTAATTAATACGAGTGCTTGGATTATCATAGCTTTTTGGAAGTTGCTTAATTGTGCAAATCATTAATTAAGGATTTATCACTCAAAAAAGAAATTACAAAAATTATGACATTAATTAATGTATATGTAATCAACTATTAATTAATTACTGCCACCAAATACTTTCTTAAGCTTCTTCACTTGTGCATGATCAAGCAAAGTGACCTTCTCAACCACCTTGGACGGTAGATCGTTTGTAAACACCGCGTCAACTGATTGAACACCGGGATTATCACTGGCGAAACTTGCATACGTAACAACCGGTGTTGACCCAACATTGACCTGAAAGTGAAGAAGTTGTGGTGGGAAGATCATAATGTCCCCCTTATGTAACGTTTTGTAATATGCCGTGTTATTTGTGTTGATGAATCCAGCAATTACGGTACCCTCGACTAATATGAGGAGTTCCGCCACTCGATGAGTGTGGATTGGCACGGCTCCACCAACACCCAAGTCTGCTCGTACCATGGAAATTCCCATACCATTTAACCCTGGGAATTGAGGACTAAATGCTACACTTGCACCGAATTTAAACATGTTAGTAGTGTTACCCGCGACACCCAGACCCGAGTGTACAAAATCATCTACCGTGACTTTAGCAGGATCCTTACAAGCGTACCCTGACGGTCCACTAGGTAGGCTCAAGTCTCCGACACAAAAGTCGAAAACTGTATCGGCACAAGAGATTGAAACAAGGAGAGAAAACGTAAACAAGATAGGAAGATTCATATTTAGTTTGGAATGAAGCTAGCTAGAGATATGCATATATGGTGATTAGAACTCGATGGTTGTACGTATATATATGGTATATAGTGATTTATTAGTAAATGAGTGTAAATTAAGTAAAAGGATTACTTGATTAAGTTTATTAGTTCCTTTTTAGGCGTGTAGGGTAGGTTGGGGGTACAACATGATTGAATTGATCAGTTGAGTTACTTGTTTGGTTTTAGTAGAGATCTCAACAACCATAAAAATGTATTATTTTAATTACATCAACAACAACAACCATTAGTTGTTACTATGGCACTTTAATTTCTTGTATAAAGGCCTTCAACTTTTTTGTTGCTTGTAATATTTCTATGTACCAACCGGCATTAAAATTTAAAATATGCATATAATTTTAGAAGGAACGACAGACTAAAACCTTAATGAGCTGCAGATTGTGAGCTATCCGACTCGGTTCAGCTCTAAACTGTAAAGAGCACGAGTGGAGCAAGATCGTATACATATATTACACGTAGAGCGAGCATGAGTTGAGCACATGTATAAAGTTTTTGAATCAAATTGAACACTCTTTAGCCCGTATCAACTTGCTCGATTAGCGCCCCTATTTCGGAGTTATAATCATAACAATAATTGATTACTTTCCTTTTATAAGGGTGATGTTTCTTTGTTTAATTGCCAAAATTATAAGATAGGCTAAACCGTACCTTTTCTACGTATCGATCTATCTTATCTTAATGGCTAATTAATTAAGAATATATATTGCCTTAATATAGGTTGATTTTGTTTGAGACAATTTATCCTTAATTGAGTTAGTTCTATGCACGTTTTGACGATGTAAATTGTGTAACTAAATTAATTTTTAAAGAGAATGAGGAGAAAAAAAATAGAGAGAAATACTTTTTTCATGTTCCTAATTGAAGCAAGTTTCTTATCTCTTAATCTGTAGTAATTAATTATAATCTATTTTAATAGGGCATTTTTTTTATATAGCTATTTTGTGCATGGAGCTGAGATTGAACAGAAAAAGGCTGATTATTAGTTATATCCAATTAATATCATTCGAGTAATTTTGATTTACTTTGATTTGTGTTAAAGAGTGTAGGAGTACTTATTTAGAGAAAGAAAGGCTACAAGATTTCAATTATCTAGACATACTACATAATCTACTTATTTACTCAACCTAAATGTAACCTTCGTACAACACACTTTTTCTCTATAAATATGAATGAACATTTTAGCAATAAAATTTACCAATAAATACTGTACTATGGAGTAGCTTTTGAATTGGTGTTTATTCCTATTGGTGTTAGTAAAATTTACCAATAAATACTGTATTATGTTGCAAACATAATGAAAGAGAAACGGGGTAGCCAACAATAATGAGTCGTTTGTGAAAAACTTATGTTCTTTATTAATAATTTAGTACTTATTATGTATGTTTAGGCTCTATTTGTGTTTCATCAAAACAAAGAAAGCCATTAGTAAAACATTAAGAATAAACTCCATCAGTCATCAAGAATAATGGACGTTAGTTCGTTGGACAGAAATTACAAAAATTAAGCGTGAAAGAAATAAAACTAAAGTTTGATCAATTTCTTTTTCTTTCCAAATACAAAAGGCACAAATAATTTAATTGATCAATTAGTGCCACCCAACAATTTCTTTAACTTGTTGATTTGTGCATCATCCAGCAAAGTAACCTTCTCAATAAGTTCCGAAGGTAGGCTGCTTCGAAACAAAGCGAGATCCACTGCCTGGAAACCGGGATTTTCACTAGCGAAAGTAGCATATGCAAGAACCGGTGTTGATCCTACATTAATTTGGAAGTGTAGTAGTGTTGGTGGGAAGATCATTATGTCTCCCTTGCTTAAAGTTTTATAGTATGCAGTGTTTTTCGTGTCAATAAACCCTCCAATTACCGTTCCTTGTATTATTATGATTAGCTCGGCCACACGATGTGTGTGCAATGGTACAACCCCGCCTACATCCAAGTCTGCCCGTGTTATGGAAATATCCATACCATTCAAACCCGGGAACTGGGTAACAGTAGCATTATTTGCACCAAATTTGAAAGGGTTCGCGCTGCTAGCAGCCACTCTCAAACCAGAATAAACAAAATCATCAACTGTGACTTTAGCAGGGTCCTTACAAGGGTATCCTGCCGGACCATCTGGTTGGCTCAAGTCTCCAACACAATAGTCGGAAATAATAGTAGCACAAGAGAGAGATACTAGGAAAGAAAACATGATAAAAACACGAAAATTCATTTTAGATTAAGCTTGGTGATTGTATGTATAATGTATTGTGGAGAATGCTAACAAAGGGTATTATATTATTGTTATATTTTTGAGGTGGTTGTAACCCTATTTATATACAAATAGTTTGAAACTTTGATAAGATGTATGATGCATGGGTGACTAAACTATTGACGTTCCTACATACATGTGCTTGATAAAGGGGATATACTTTTTCAATTTGATGTAATTAATGGGACATTAGTGTTAATTAATCATTCCGTATAATCTTTTTGTGATAATGTTCCTAGCACGTAGTATTGATTTTGGAATCAAACAGATTTGATTAGTGGGTCGGATATTTGATTGGATCAACTTAGTTTTTTTTAGTTATTTGAATAGGTCAACTTAGTTATTTAGTTTATTTCACGGGATAATTTTGCAATGGCCACAATAATTTGGTAGCCATGCATTGTAATGTTTTGATCATGACCATTTATTTTCTAATGTTAAATCTTCACCATCTATTTCATTGACTAAGTTATAAATATTTTTTTTTACCATGAAAACTTCATTAATCTTTCCCCTTCCTTTTCATGATTTCTGAATCTAATTCATTGATGCTCCTACGCATCTGATCTTTATCTCTTCAACCTCTGCTCCATATAAGAACAGTGGTGGGTAATTTCCACCTTCATTACATCAATTAATGACAAAATCTTTAGATGTTGTTAATGCTTGTAGTAGCAGTTAAAAAAATAAAAAATAAATAAATAAAATCATGGAATACATGTATTATCGAAATCGCTGATTAGGTTATTGCTTAATCACTTTTGGGAAGATTGATTAGTGCATGTGTACTACAAATCTATGGAGGTTTTTAATTGTTAATCATCATCGTATTTGAATCGATAGTGAAAATTTTCTGTTCATAACTCCGTTTTACAACAATAATATTGCAGTTTTCTTATTTAATTTTCTTTCTCTAAGTCAAATATATAAAAGAACGGCTGAGATTGCTTCTATAAAATTGAAAGGCTAGGATTACATATAATTACTGTTTGGGTCCAATTTAGTCAAAATTGGGCCTAAGCACTAAATGATCCAATTAAAAGCCCAAGGTCAAGGTTCAACTCTCCAATTGCACAAAAGTCAAAGGTCAGCCCACAAAGCATGCCAATTGGGCTAAGGCCCAACCTCACCATGTATGATGAGGTATAAAAGCCATCATATTGACACATTCATACATTCACGTTCAGATTCATATGCTCATTCTTGCATTCAGAAATATTCCACAAAAGCCTCAAGCTACAAACTCTCTTGCATAGTGTCTTCCTTTTACACATTGTACTGACTTTAGCATCGGAGGGGCCTTCCTCGGAAACACCCCCGAGGCTAGTTTACGTGTGTTCACTGTGCAGGAAACCTTCGGCCCAACACAACTTGGACCGAATCCAGTCTTCTCCATTTCAGCGGACCTTCGGCAAGGTCCCATTGTTTTCAACCGAAACAATTTGGCGCCGTCTGTGGGGAAGACTTTAAAAAATCTTTAAGCCAAATTCCTAACCAAGATCATCTTGCAATTATCTTAGCAGCCATGGCTAAGAACCGCAAGAGCAAAAGCCTCCGTCAAGGAGCGGGCGAAAAGCCTAAAACCCCTACACCATCGCCCTCGCCGGACCGGAACTCTCCCAAGGGTGCCGGCTCGGGGGGAGGATCATACAAGGAGGATTCCCTATCTCCTGTAATGCATGACTCTCAATATAGGCCGGACCACTCTCGGTCTAGCAGGGGTCAGTCTGATCATAGGACATATTCAGTGTCCCAAAGCCAACCATCGGCTGCACGGCCTCATTCCCACACTCGGCCGAGGACCCCTTTGACGGGGCCCAGTTCGGAAGAGGTGGCAAGAGCGCTGGCAGTACTCATGGAGGCAATGAGGGCACAGAATATGCCACCGCCTCGTGATCGAACTCCTCCGCATACCCGGCATCAGCGGAGGAAGTTAGACCATGACGGTGGGAAGCTTCCTTCCTTCCGGGAATTGGAAGAGTGGGAGGAGGATTCTTGGAAAAATGAAAAACAGAGGAAAAAGAACTCTCAATTATTTAAAGGATCCTCATCCTCAAGACCAGCAGCGCATAAGAGCAGCAGCTCAGCTTCTCGGCCAGAATCTACTCGCCGGGAACCTGAGACTGTTCGCAGAAGCGTCCTTGACCGACTCGGCGGCCAGGAACCGAGCGTGCGTAGTCGCCTCTCGTTCCCTGCAGCCGAGGCCCAGACTTCCCAGCCAGGGACGAAAACCACTCCTACCTCTCTAAGAGGGCGGAGCGCGGTCCCTTCGGCCAGGAACAAGGGTAAGGCCGTTATGCTACCCGCTAGTTCACCATTCGAGCAATGGATACTGGAAGAGCACGTACCCACGGTTAAAATACCGTCGCATATCACATATGACGGGACCACGGATCCGAAGGACCACGTGGCCTCGTATGAGACTCATATGCATCTTTGCCCCAGATCCGAGGCGACTTGGTGCAAATATTTCCCAACCACTCTCAAGGGGGTCGCGCAAGCGTGGATCTCCAAGGGAGTAAGGCAAGGCTCCATAACAGGTTGGGATGATCTGTCCTCCAAGTTCAGGAGCAAGTTTTCCACGGCAAACCGCCGAGAGAAGACTACCGCAGAGCTCATGAGTCTGCAACAGGGGGAAACCGAAAGCCTCCGAGACTACCTGACCCGTTTCAGTAACGAGTCATCAAGCGTCTCCCAGCTGGACCAGGGGTTAGCTGTTTTTGCAATGCAGAATGGCCTTCAGCCAGGAAAATTCCTAGACTTCATGGTCATGCATACCCCGCAGACCTTGGAGGAAGCTCTTAGTGCTTCGGATAAGTTCATCCGAGCCGAAGAATGGAATAAAGCAAAAACCCAACCTCAATCCGGGGGAGGGAAACAGAGGCAAATACCCTTGTCTGAAGGCCAAGGCCATAAGGCAAAGGGAAAATCAAAGGCTCCGGAGCCATCTTTGGCCAATGACCTAAAGAAGGACAGGTTTTCCTCATACACAGGCAGATACGAGTCCTACACTCCGCTCTCTCTTCCACGCGCCAAAATTTACAGTGTGACGAAGGAGGAGCAGAGTTACCGAAAGCCGAGACCACTCCCAGAGTGGTATCAGCGAAAAAATAAAAATCAGTGGTGTGAGTTCCACGAGTCTTCGGGCCACAACACTGAGGAGTGTATCCAGCTGAAGGACCAGATAGAGGACATGGTCCGGAAGGGATACTTGAAAAAATACATCGCGGATCACCGCGAGAAAAAAGAATCCGAGAGGCCAGCAAAGGACCCTCGGCAGGACCTTGATTTCCCCCGGAAAAACAGTAAAAAACCGGAGGGGAAATTCCCTCCGATCAATGTTATCTCGGGAGGAATATACTCTCGGAGGGAGCACAAGCGTCACCTTAGAGCTTTGACTCACCAGGTGAACAACGCTGACATTCAATCTCCCCAGTCGCCGGTGCCGAACATGACGTTCACAGCCGCCGACTGCCGGGGGATTACGTTCCCTCACGAGGATCCGTTGGTGATCATCGCCACGGTGGCCAACCACGACGTCAGTAAGGTCCTTGTTGACGGTGGCAGCGGAGCAAACATTCTGTTCCGAAAGGCCTACAATCAAATTAAGCTGAAGCCCAAGCACCTTACGCCGGTACCCTATCCGGTATCCGGGTTCAATGGGGCTTCAACTTATCCAGATGGGAAGGTGACACTTCCTGTCACCATCGGTTGCGATGAGGCAGCCCGGAACGTCATGATTGAGTTTTTGGTCATCGACGCTCCTTCAGTGTACAACGTGATTTTGGGGAGACCCATAATTCACGAGATCCAAGGGGTCGTCTCAACTTATCATCAGCTGATGATTTACGTCTCAGACGCCGGCTTCCCCGAAAGGATACAGGGCAACCAAAAGGACGCCCGAAGGTGCAACTACCTCAAGCCATCCAGTAGTCGCCCAGATGACGACAAGGATGAGGAGGAGAAAGAAAAAGAAAGAGAGCCAAGCACAAAAAAGCCGAAAGGCCTAAGTGCTTCGGCCCAAGGATCCGTGCCCAGAGAAAAAGGTCCCGAAAGGGAAAAGGTTGACTCTTCTGCTGAGCCGCAAGACTCAGAGAGCCAGCCGAAGAACACAAAGACTGGGACACCTGCTGACATTGGCAGCAGACCAGATTCTGAAGAGTCCAGTCCATCGACAATGGACATGGACCAACAGACTGAAACAGTTGAGTTGGCCGAAGGAGATGCTGAGAAATGTGTAACAATCGGGATGGACCTTGATCCTAACACCCGTTGTGAACTTATTCAGCTCCTTCGGGATAACAGAGATGTGTTTGCTTTCTCGGCAGCTGATATGCCCGGGATAAGTTCAGACCTCATCTCCCATAAGCTTAATGTTGACCCAACGTGTCGACCAGTTAAGCAAAAGAAGCGGAATTACTCCGCCAATAAGAACCGAGACATCGCAGCCGAAGTCAAAAAATTATTGGAGGCAGGGTTCATTGAACCTTGCCAATATCCGGAATGGCTGGCAAATGTGGTGATGGTTCAGAAGCCCAATGGTACCTGGAGGATGTGCGTTGACTTCACGGACCTAAATAAGGCTTGTCCAAAGGATTTCTATCCCTTGCCGAGAATCGATCAGCTAGTCGATTCGACAAGTGGCCATGCCTTGCTTAGTTTCATGGACGCATTCTCGGGGTATCATCAGATCTTTATGCACCCCGACGATCGAGCCAAGACAGCATTCGTCACGAACGCTGGGGTGTATAATTACAAAATGATGCCCTTCGGATTGAAAAATGCGGGGGCAACCTATCAAAGGCTGGTGGATCAAGTTTTCGCCGATCAAAAGGGCCGAAACATGGAAGTCTATGTTGACGATTCGATCGTCAAAAGCAGAAAACTAGAGGACCATGTAAAGGACCTGGCTGAAACTTTCGCCACCTTGAGAAAGCATCAAATAAAGCTGAATCCGAAGAAGTGTGTCTTCGGCGTGAAGTCAGGGAAATTCCTGGGTTTCATGGTCAGCAA